GGCAAGGCTCAGTGACGATGCAGGTGAAACGTCTGGGAATGAACCAAGTCGGTCCGATTCTGGACATTTTTATGCATACTATGGACTCCGAATAGGGTGCACTCCCCTAGGTCTTCCTGAAAATATGACCTAGTTGCGAAAACCTGGTGAAACAACTTCTATCACTTCTAATGTTACAACTAATCCTGTGGGACAATTTTAGCGGAAACTAATATTGCCTAGAAACTATGAAAGACTTTAATATCAGTCGTCCGTTTCAACCGTATTTGATTTAAAGGCAACCTACCGAATGTATATATTGTACTTGAGCAAGTAAACTAAAATAACAAAATAGGAGATAAATATTAAGTGAATAGGAAATTAAGAAAAGGAAAGACCTTGATGCTAAAGCTAAAGTGAAACTATTCAATAAAAGCCGACTCCGTGTAACCTGTTTAGCCTTTCGTATAGTTGATTCACTAAAAGGTGATTATAATTGCAGGACTAGCAAGTTTTATTATAAAGATAGCGGAGAAAAATTATGCCTTACCTTTGGATCATTGCAAACCGGACGGAAGACCGGTTTATCCGGCCCTATCACGAAGTTGCTCAACTGATTATGAGGTTTATGCTCAGCCTCAGACTCGCTGCATGCTGTAATAAAAGTGTCAGCAACAGCAGCATTAATCGACAAATCAGAAAGGGTCTTTGATGGTCTTACAGCCGCAATCAGATAATCTGAAAGCGGTTCGGAAGATAAAGTAGAAGGGGATGTAAAATCGAAACCAGTTATAGGGACGGGATCGGTGTCACCACCACTAGCGCTGCATACAGCTGTTTGTTCTGATACAGACATTCGAGGTGAGTCAATAAAAGCACCATTAGGTTCCAGAGCCAATTGTTGCGATGATTGCGGCTGCTGATGATCCAAACAACTTTTCCGGTCTGCCGAGAGGACCATCGCCTCCCATTGGGTCAAAAAGAGAGCCTGTATGGCATTTACAACCGATTCGACACTTGAGAAAACTGCCCCATTGTAGAGCACCAGAGTCACAAGTTGGCGTTCAGAGGTTTCAGCTGCTGCTGGAGCTTCTGGGAGCTCAGCCTCAGAAACAGGAGTAAAGCCTACATCGGAAGTAATACGACATGGCGAGACATGACTGAAGGAAATACTGGTAGCTTGGTCCGTTATTTGTAGTTGGGATCTGTAAGAAACGAATAGGATGAGATGAAATTAGAATGCATCATTAATTGCGGGTGTATGTGCGTACAACTAGAAGTTACGTAAGCCTATTATGCTGAGTAAATCAAGGCTCCATAAAAGAATTCTTTAAAAACCTTAACTATATGTTATAGAACGATTATCTATTCGATGAATTGAACTCCCTCCACTTGATAGCAAGTTTTAGCAAGGGATAGATATCGAAAAGAAGAAGTTTAATAAAATAATTCACATTGGATTTTCATGTGTTAGGCACTGTTAAATTTATTTTTAAAAATTAAACATGCTCTTAGCACCATCGTGAGCAGAATCGTTATCACTCCTATGGTACCCTATGTTATTTATACCAAGTTAATCAGTTAATCTAATTTTTGAATAAGCACAAATTCACATCACTGAATAGCCTGAGTATTTAACGATGCATGTAAAGTGAAGCTAATTATCGTTACGGAGTATAATTTCCGAGTACCATTAAAGTTTGGCCTAAAACAAGCCATAATATCTAGCTTTTTTGGTAATAGTTCTGTCAGCAGCCTAAAAGAAAACAGTGTAATCGGACTCCCAGTTTCCGCATTTACCTGAAATTATTCCTAAGACAAATTTTTTGGCATTATTATTAGATGCATGAAGTGCATTCACCCTAACTCGGTTAATGCGATAAAGAGATTGGTAGTTGAATTTTCCTACAATGAAATAAGTAGACCCTACGTTTCCATTAGATGTAACAGTTTTGCTTTCCCAAAAAGTATTCTCATTCAGAGTAGAATGCCATTTCGACATCGTCCAGGGTTTATCAACACCTCAGGTGCGACTCAAACCGTGACCGTGCAGCGTATAATCTCGACATACTAACCACTGCGCCACATTGCTATGAGTGCCTTTAGGTCGCAGGGCTGGTGTGGATTTCAAATAAGGCCAGTCATTTTCCCATATTGTGTGTTGTGATTGACGATGCAGCAAAGTTGTATTTGCTATAGCAATCGACTACATTACTGTCTCCCTTGAAATTCACATCTGCCCTGTGACCCAAGGGAACTCGTAGCAATGTGGCGTAGTCGTTAACGTGTCGAGATTATACGATGCATTTTAGTGATTTGGTCCTGCTAGGGGCGTTTATAAGACATAGGTGAGATCGAAACAATAATCCTCTCTGGATGATAATACGTTTTGAGAAAGCAAGACTATGTGAAATGCATGGAAGCGCAAGGGTTATTCATGCAATTGTAGAAAAATTCAACTTTCAGCCCCTTTATCAACTTCAACGAAATAGGATGAATATATATGATCTATAGATAGTCTCGAAAGCCTACTTACAAAATAAAATTTATTATTAGAGTCCATATACCTTATCACATGTTCTGTTTCTGCTAAATGCACCGCTCTAGCATAAATCTTCACATGTCTAGTAAGTAAAAAAATTCCTTGTAAGAGACAAGTTGCGTATAGTTGTCGACAACGAGACTAGACTTAGTGGAACCTTCTGTCTTAATATATAATGAATGGGGTTAAATATATATAATGCATTTATGGGTTATGCAGGCATTCATCCACTATTTGGAATATGGATGTTCTCAACCAAGAATTTAGAATAAGAGCTTATTAACCCTATGTAATGAAGGAGTTTCCAATTAATCTCATTACCCAGGGTGGACTGCGAGTAACGCAGCGTGTAATTTCTACATGTATACAATACGCCCCATTTCTACAAGTGCTTCTGGGTCTCAAATCAGAGGTGAATTTCAAGTAAGGCCAGGTCTCACTCATTACATTTGAGGCCTACCAATACTATTATGGGAAATTTCAATTAACAGTCCTTCCTCACTTGTGATCTAGGCTGATTATAACTTTAATGAGAGATCTATGATAGTCACAAAGGGCTACTTTATTTGAAATTTTCAATGTCAAGTGAGACTATTTAATTTTGGAATAACCAATTTATTAAAAAACCGAAAATATTTTTATTGTATGTCTATGCAGAAAGAGGCTGCACATCGAATAATAAAAAGGGAATAAAAGTGCTTTGTAATAGATGATATAATAGTATTAAGTGGATGAGGTGGGTGAATGCTCAGAAAGAATCAATGTGAGTAGGCAGTAGCGGAATGTGAGCGTTGCTTGATTTTCCAAGGGCAGTTAAAAAATAATACGTACGTCCGTCAACGCAATCGTGACCCCATTCGCCCTTCCCTTCCTGAAACTTGATTGGCAAAATCAATATCTAAAGATGGTGGCAGAAGAATGACAAATGTCGAGATAAATAGTGAAACTGTACATTTTAAGGCAATAGGAAGTGGGAAAATAAATCAGCATCACTCGATTAAAGTGAAACTAAGCAGATATGAAATGGACGATAGGGATGCGAGTAATTACTAATACGTCTGACATTTAATTCAACAAAACGATAAAAAATAGTCTTATTTTGTGCACGAACCCAGATGGAGGTATAGGTTCTTCGCACATCCTATGTTTCCAGGTCAGTTGCTTGACAAACTATAGCTGATAAAATGAAGATCTCAGCTTGAATAGTTATGATTGGAACAAAAGCCAGATCAGGTTTAATGCTCTTTTCACTAAGTAACTAAGCGTAAAGACAAGGGATCAATGATAGGCAAAACGTACGATGTGGACAATTTGTGCGAATAATGTAAAAAAATTAATTCCTAGAAGACATTGACATTTAATTGCACAAATAATTAATTTTCTCACCTCTGAACAAAAGTAGG